GAAGAAACCAATTGACAAGAATAGCAATACTTCAGTGTATTTGATGTTTACACTGAACAGTTGCTGTGTCTCATACTCATTGGACTATTTAAAGTTATGACTTGATTCTGAAAGTCGTCTTCGTATTTCGGAGTTGTCTGGTGTCATTGTATAACTGGAAAATATACCTTTAGTCCCTTTCCTTTTAAAAAGTTCTTTTCCTAAAGCTAAATGAATTTACTCTGACAAAATTACAAATTGAAGATTTTAGATCGAATCCGTCAACCCTGATCAAGCTTTCATTTAGATTAAACCTGAAACCCTGATCAAGATTTCATTTAGATAAAACCTGCGGGTCTCTGGAGAGTTATCGAGTAAAAGCAATGTGACCACAAGAAATTTCCATAAAAGAAATTGAGACTTTGCCACAAACTCAAACTCTTTATCCCACTAACTTTGCCTCCTGATGGTCTGAGCTTTTGATATTTCAAACTTAGTTTATTTGATCCAACATGATTGATAGTTTGAAATGTCTAAGTTACAGGACACCGGTTTCTCAGATATAGGGCCGGATTAAAAAGTCAGAGTTTGTGGCACAGACTCAATTATATTAAACACTAAGGACCCGGTTCACACAGAAAATGTTTACCAACCTAAGACGAGTTGTGAAATGTTGTGCATTCGTGTATTTTTTTGTGTAGTTATTTGGTCATCAATTTTGGAATTTTTGTTAAATTTTGGGAAAAAAATATAATTAACATTCCCATAAATGTTTCAAGTTTTTTTTTCAAACAAATTTGATTAAAAGCATTTAATTTTTTGTAATATTTCATTGTTTAAACATATATAAAATCCGGGGCAAACAACATTTTTAAAATTTTGTGCTAATCCCATTGTTTTTCCTTTTTTGTTAGAAGCGGAAATGTCGTCTTATGCACTACTATGCTATGGCAATATCTACGTGATGTGAAGATAATATATATAAATATAAAATAAGATGCAATATCAAAGACGACTTTCAAGTCGTCTTGCCTCTGTCATGTTTCGTGGGACACCCTGTACTAGTTCTCATACTAAAATTTTACTCGGTGATCCTGGGCACATACTACAACAGCCCTCTTGACACCCTCTTTGGGAAAATCCTGACGACGGGCCTGTTTCCAATATTATCTTAATATCTTTGTAAAACAATGAATAACAATTAAGGATATGTATTATAACAACCAACCGTCGTGTGGATAAACTCTCAAGAAATCTTTGTTCAGTTTGGATTTTATCATCTTTGTAGATATGCGACAAAATGTCGTCTTGCACAAGGAAATGTTTCTTTGTGATGAAATTCATTTTGTAGGCGCTGACTTCAATTACTACAAGGTGTTCCAATAAACATAGGAATTCAGTGACGAATTCGATATCGTCTTTTCAAATAATTCTTTGATTTAGTATGGTGATTCCTACTGAGAAAGCTGTAATCTGTAAGAGTTTGTCTGCTATGTTCAAATTTTGTTTGTTTATGTTTTTACTGAATACGATTGTACTTAGTAAAACAAGAAAATTGCAGCATACAAACAGAATAAACTTGTCCGTCTTCACTGTTCATCTTGCGGAAACATTATAGACATATATTTGCAGTCTTTTACCCTTTTCATAAAATAAACTCTAGCAGACATAATAATATTATGGCTGTTTAAATTAGGTATTACGATGCTAATTCATAACAAAGACGATATCGAATTCGTCACTGAATTCCCATGTTTTTTGGGACACCCTGTATAATAACAAATTAAGCCTGGATTAAACAAACTACAAGCGACACAAAAAAAATAAAACACAATATTTTAAAATTAAATGAAATAGTAAAATTAGATTAGAAGTGAAAACAAATGTTGTTTTGAAGTTGCAATTTTATAACTGAAGGGTTGCCATTTGCCAACTAAGAATGCATGGATGAATGATACTTCAGACATTAGAGCCTAGCAATAGATATAGAGTAAAGGTGTAATTGCTCACACTAATAAAATTGCTTGAATGTCGTCTTTCTATTTTATAGTTTTATTGATCTCACTGCCCAAAATAATAAAGTTCCATAAGCTCTTAAGTCTAAACTCTTTAAACAAACATTGCGTAGTTAAATTATTTCAACTTTGAAAAAAGGTCAATCTTATCTTTTACAGTGCACGTACTTATACTAGAATCTATTAATACAGGGTTACCCACAAAGAATGAGACTTCAGAGACGACTGTTTGGAACTTAAACTTCCTGTTTCCTTATGTGCTCTCTCCTTTCCTTATATAATACTAAGCTTTCAAGCCCATCTTCTAACAGTAACAAAAAAAAGTTCGCGGATGAATGGGGAAAGGCCTGACACAAAAGCAGTTTTTAAAACTTTTCAGCAAAGGGGTATATCTCACAAAAAAACTTACAACTTTAAATAATTTACATTTATATATGAATAGCTTTCCAGTAAAACGTCGTTTGTAATAATTGTCTCCGTAGAACCCTACACCCTGTACAAAAATTTCCATTGATCCTGTGCAAATTATCCTATAGAAATTAAACATTTTTCAACAAAATAATTTACTAGAGAATGTTTTTTGAAGAGGTAAAATATATGAGATTTTGCTAGTAAGTATGAATGCAATTATTTGTTAAAATTTTTTTTTTTAAATTTGCTTTTAGCTCGTGAAATTGTGAATTTACTGTCACATGATAAAATTTATCTCAGTTTTTAAAGTGTGTCACAATAAAAATAGAAATTTTTAAAGGCAACCAAGTACTATAACTTGAATATGCATGAAGTGTAAGGTGTTCACAAATGGTTACTGATTTAAAAAAATAGCGTGCTCGATGAGCAAGGTAGCTGTTTCCATTGCACTACATACTGTGAGGAATTCCTAAAAATTCTAGGGCGACATCTCATAAATTCTTGAAGATAATCGCCACAAAAGATTTAAAAAGTGCAAAAGAAAGTTTTAAAAAAATACATGAAATTATGATGTTACATATGAATTTCTTTATTTTAAACAGAAAAGTGAAACTTGGATCCGATGAAATTTTTTTAAAAAATATTAAAACCCGTCTTAAATGCTCGTTTTTTAGAAAAGTGCATTTTTAGCGATTTTTTAATATAACTCAGTCAATTTTAAAAATTTTTAAAAAAATTTCAACGGATTTCATCTTTCTGGACAATTACAAAGAAAATGATAAACTCAAGAAAAAAATATTTTGGACATGTATTGTGATAAGCTTAACTACGTTTATATCTATCCCCGTAATCTTTTAAATACGTACATTAAACTTAAACAAAGCTGTATTGTGATAGCTTAACTACGTTATATCTATCCTCGCTAATCTTGCAAATATGTACATTTAACTTAAACTATGCTGTATATATATTTATGTAAAACTTGTAGTTATGTTGATTAACATTAACTTGTAATATAGATATCTAAATACAAATTAGTTGTTATAGAAACTCCATACTAACTACTACAAGAGATTAATCGTTCCTTATTTTAACAAACAAGTTGATGATCTTGCCTATTGGTTTGGCAATGATAGTTAAGAGCTAGTGTCTGGTTGACATCTATAGCTTATGAGTTTGTGCCCATGGGTTTGTCATTGACAGTTACGAGCTAGTCTCCAGTTGATATCATTAGCTTACAAGATCGTGCCCATTGGTTTCGCATTGATAGTTTACAAGCTAGTGTCTGGTTGACAATGATAGCTTACTAGATTGTGCCCATTGGTTTGGCCTTGATAATTACAAGCTATTGTCTTGTTGACATCATTAGCTAGCAAGATTGTGCCTATTGGTTTGGCATTGATAGTTTGGATAGTGTCCATGTTGACATCAATAGCTGATGGGATTGTGTCCAGGGTTTAGACATTGATAGCTAAGTGAAATGGAGTTGTACCTGGATAGAAACATATTTGAGAAACCCTTATGGAGTAGGGCATCAATTTAGATTTTTGGCACTATGAAGTAACCAATTTAGAGTAGCATAATCATTTGAAATTTTGCTTTTATTTATCTGTGCTGGAACTATAAAAAAATATCATATTTTGCATATAAATTTACGTTTTGCGCAAAAATTCCAGTGTTATGCAAATTTCGCAAAAAAAAATGCTCAAAGCGCACAAATTTGTTTGCGCTTTATGCGCAAAAGTAATTTCGTGGAAACCCTAATCCAAATTTAACATTATCTGTAAACAATGAATTCTTTACTTACGGTGAATCAAGACTAAAAGTGATAAAGGCAATACTCGTACTGGAATGACAGGATAAATATATTGGATCAAAATGAATTATAGTCATCATGACTGCCATCTAACGCCATTTGTTTCAACTACTTTTCTTTAATCAATGATGTTTTACAGGTTAACACAGAACTATAGAGACATGGAAAGAATTTATAGAATGTTGACTTGAAAATTTTTAATTGGGTTTTATATTGTTTTACTTAAATCTCAGTTATTGTGTAAAAATAAATGAATAGCCAGAAAGTATGTGGTAACAGGTTTACATAGCACCATATAATTATTCGATTAAAAACTCAATATCTGCAGCATTCCATTATCAGCAGGTTTAAAATATGAAATTTTATGAATTCTTTTGATGTCTGTGAAGTCTCGTGAGACACACTGTGTTCTCCTCTGTCAAAGTTTATCTTTCAATTTCGTCAATTAGATAAGAAACATTATAAAGCCTTGATGCGTATATTTTATGTTTCATTATATTTACTGTTATTAGGGTTTTCACTTTTCACAAACATTAATTGTATATTTAGTATTTTTAAATATATAAGTAAAGTTGAAACTTCCAAAAAACTGTTTATCCAAAAAGACGACATTAATCAATCTTAGTTGTATTCAGCTTGCTAGAAAGAAAATAGTTTTGCCATAAGCTTGAAAAACATCCTTTGTGTGAAATACACACTGCCCAATAAATGTGTTCAATTGGACTATATAAAAATTCCAAACATAAAAGTCGTCTTTATATCTCACAGTTGTATCGGCTCCACTGTAGTAAACATGATAATAGTTTTTAACTGCGTAATTTGCTTTCTAGGTGAACATGATTCGCGCTGTATTATTATGCTCACTGCTCTGCCTAGTTCGAGGTACTTTTTTATTCTTATTATTTGCTTAGATTATTAGATGGGGGGGGGGGTGTATCTTCTTAGCTTCTCTAAGGGGAATTGGCGACAACACCCCCCCCCCTCCTTATCCCATTTAAAATAATTAAATAAAAGAATAAATTGAAGAAGAAAATAACCTTTTCTGAAATTGTTAGCTGTACCTTGCTTAGCTTAACCTGATTTAAATATAGTATTTTACACCATAAACATACAAGTCAAGAGAAGCTGTCAATTAAAAAGCTTCTCTTTGTTTTTTTATTCGTAAAAAGCTTGGTAACCATCAACACTTAAATAAAAAATTCGTATTTATTGTATTGATGAAATCAACTAGCACTGTATGTATTATGGCATTATTTGTAAAATGAAGTTTTTGGGTTAAAAGTTTTTGGTTAAATGTTTGGGCTTCTGAAGTACAAAAAAATTAATTTTTAAAATTAATAAAATTTATATTTGTAGGATCTCCAGCTGGATCCTTGAAGTCTAAACTTGACTTTCAAGGCAAGATTGTTGGAGGACAGGAGGCTGAACCTCGTAAGTATTAAGATCAATCTTTAATAAAAAATATTTGAAATCTAAAGGAAATGAGTTTTTGCCACACACTCTATTTTTTAATTTTCTAAATCCAATATCTTTGCAATTTATCATTTTTCAAACTTAGACTATTTGATTTACAGTGAGAACCAGAAAACTCTGGAATAGGACGTCGACTTTTAGACTCAAATTATGACTTTTAATAGTCCTATGAATATGAAACAGCAATTGTAAAGTGTAAACAGATCCATTTCACTTGATAAGTGATTTGATAACTTACTAGTAAATTTATTTGCTTTGTAACAACATCAAAAATACTTCATTGCTTTAATGCCGCCTTCCTGTGCCACAGTTTTCTGGTTATCACTGTAAATCTAATAGTCTAAGTTTGAAATATCATAAGTAGCAAAGATATTGGAACTAGAAAATTTGAGATTGTGACAACAATTCAGATGGCCTGCCCTAACTACCATGATTGGCATCTGAATTTTTTAAACATTCTCATTTATTTGATTTTCAAAAGGTTCTTAAGGTCCAAAATCTTGATAAGATTTTGCTAGATTTTTACTTTTATTACAGATATCAACCAAGCGGATGGTAATATCGTTTAGATTATTTGCTAATAAAAAAAAATGTTTAGAAAATATAAGAATTTTTTTACATAATTTTATGAAAGCAAACTTTAAAAAATAGGATTATAATATTTATTAAGCAAATTCGTTCTGAGCATCTTGGAAGCCATTTTTAAAAATATTTTTGGAATATTAAAAAAATCCGCGAAATAATTTTTAAAAAATTTAACCTTGGGATATGATAATTATATTGTTTTCCAATATTTCATAAAAACAAATCAAAAATCGAATGAGATACTGCAATTACTGTAAAGTTGTTAACCAATTAATTGAATTTTTGAAGATATTTGATAACATTTACTGCAGATATCCACTTCGATTTTTTTTGGCGGATTTTTGTTATATTTCCTATAATTTTGGATGAATTTTTATGAAATTTCCAACAATTTTTCAATTTTTCAGAAAATTTAACTTTTCAAAAAAAATTGGTTTCTCGGATTTTTTCACAATGTTCCAAAAATATTTTTGATTTTTTATCACACTTTCTATTTTAAATGCCATACATCCAAAGCAAACCAAAACGTGGAAAATTTTTTTTAAATATCAATAATCCAGTTTCTGATAATAAGATCTTTATTAAGATGCGTATCCCTGGCAGATATCCCTACAGTACCATGATTTTATCATTGGTGCCTATTACCATACCTGTGGTGCCACTATCGTAGATGAATACCATATTGTTTGCGCCGCTCATTGCATAGATGGAAGGAAGGCAAACAATTTCAAGGTGAGCACATGGCAACACAATGAAATGTTGAAACTGAAGTATTAACCCTATCCCTGCTGGGGTACTTGAAAACCAGGATATGCTGGGGGGGGGGTCAATTTGACCCCCCCCCAAATACTAACTAATACTAACTAATACTAACTGCCTGAGTCCTCAGGCACACTGCCTGAATGACTGCTTTTGCCTGTAGCAAACTAAATCTTTGTTTTGACCCACTTTCACTTGTCAGATTTTGATAAAATTTAGCTTTTTGGAAAGCCTATGACATAAGGAAACGGATTGTTTAAGTTTTGCTAAAAAAAAATTACAAATTTTTTGCAAAAAACCTGTCAAAGGAAATTTGCACATTTTAGTTTTTCTTGATTAAAAATCAGGTTATTTAAAATTTTGCAAAAATTTTTGCATATTTGAAATGGCATGGTCAAGGGCTTTTCAAAAATGTATAATTTGTCATTTTTTGGACAAATTTTTTTTGCAAACATTTTTACTATAAAACTTGATTTTGCGATAAAAAATTCAATTTTCGCAAACTTGCAAATTTTTTTGCAGATTCTAAAAGTAGAGCACAAGAGCTTTCTAATGATGTATCATTTGTCATATTTGGACATAAAACATGGGATTTAGAGGGGGGGGGTCAAATTGACCCCCCCCCAGCGTAACCATGGTTTTCAAGTACCCCAGCGGGGAGAGGGTTAAAGCCCGGTTTTAGGCCTAAAGGGAGGGCTTTGGGTATGTAAGAAAAGTCAGAAGGGGGGGGGTCAAATTGACCCCCCCCCCCAGCAGGAATAGGGTTAAGTAAATCTGCTTGAATTTCTTCAGTCTAACATCTGTAAATAAAACTGTTTGTACAACAAGTCAAAAAACTGTATCTACAACAAGTCAAAGGCTTCATATTACTGTGTTTAAGGCGTTGGTTTAAGGGCATTAGCCCGGTTTTTTAAACTAGAAATTCCAAATATGATATTGAATAATTAATTTTAGTAATTGCATTAAGGGAAAATTTTCAACAATCATTAAGGTCTATAGCCATTAATAGTATCATTATTGCAGGATTAACGGCGATTAACGGCCAAACAAATTTTGTTAACGATTAATGAAATGGTTAACAGCCCAGCCATTAACAGTAAATTACAGTACAAAAGGCGTTATCGACGTGAAGCGCCGAAAAAAAAATTTTGTAACGGTTTATAATTTCGTTAATGGTTGTGAACACAGAACACAACATTTAAAGACTATAAAACACATAAAAAATATTATTTTACAAATTTCATGCAATTTTAAGCAGATAAAAACGAAATTCACTGCTTTTATAAAATCTGTTTCTCTCTAATAAACTTTCTGAAATTCCGTAGTGTTTATTTTATTAGTGCGACAAACTGTAATGTTAAGCACATTTTTGAAAATAGCCCATTTGGATAAAATTGGGCCTATTCAAAATAATTTCTTTTATTGAACATTTTGCTAAATAAAAAAATTTGATATTGCTTAAAGGGACCGTTCACTTATTTGGGTAATTTTATGGTAAACTAATTAGCCTCTTAGCTATACCATTGGGATTATTCTTAATTTTTAAAGATATCTATGACCAGAGAAAAAGCCGATTTATCCCTGAGAATTTCAGCGCAAAGGTATAATACATTTGCTTAAACACTATTTAAACGTTTTTTTCAGTAACAACAGCCCAATAAAATCTTAAATTGTTATATTTCAATGACATCATGATATGATAAAAAATAAAAACTTTTGGTTTTGGAATAAGCAATAAATTAACGTTTTTCCTGCTTAAACATGATTTAAAAAATTAACATGCATATAAAAAGACGATTTTCTCTCGCAGACAAACCGGTTCTTAGATTCCAAGTCTTCAATAAATCACGGGGATTCCTGGGAAAGTAGGGAAAACATATCAAACTGTGCAAAATGTTAAAAACAAGTCAGATTTTGAAAAAAGACAATTTTTAAATAATTTAGAAAAAAATGTTAGATATCTACTATTAACTATTAGATACTACAATTAGATTCAACATGTAAAATTTTCTTTAATCCATGACTCTGACAAAAAGCATCAAATAGTGTAAATGCAAAGGTAGCATTACTTTGTGCTGGAATTCTAAATGATAAATCGGCTTTTTCTCAGGCCACATTTGTCTTTAACCTATAAGACTAAAACCAATGAATAGCTAATAGGCAATTTAGTGTACTCTCAAATTACCCAAATAAGAGAACGCTCTCTTTAATTGAGTTAAAAGATTGTTTAAAAAAATATTTTTTGGGGAAAAAGTAACGACCAAAATTTTTTTCCAGGTTATTGCGGGAGCTCACAATATTGGAACCTTTGCTGGAGAAGATGGACATCAAGTTAGAAAGGTAGTCTTGTCCGCGACCCTACATGCAATTATAGCAATGCCAGATTCACAGAGATACCCTTGAAACCATTATCTGATCAATATTGCACCATAGTTTCAGTAAAAGTAGATATTTCCATTTACTGCTATAGCGCCGATATAAGGATTTATCTCTAATTGGAAAATAAGATATATAGAAAGATAGATGTTACCGCCAAGCAATTTCTATTGGTTCAGAATAAACACCAAACACATGGCTGAACCCTGATTGGATCAGGCGCTAATGGACTTGGCATACTAGAGTGTGTGCAAGATTATTTTTTCTTGCAGGATAAATGCTCAAGTCACTTTTGTAGGGAAACCACAATTAAATTATTAATCAAATTAAAATATAAACATAGATATCATAATATCTTATTGATCAGACAAAGATTTATGGGTACCATTGTGAATCGGACATTGCATTGCATTTAGGGTCACTTAAAAGTAATGTTTTTTAAGCAATTTTTGTTAGCACATACATATTTTGATGATTAACTAAGAATTACAGAAAGAATCATTAAAAATTAACGTTTACTTGATTTACATTAACTGTTTACAAACTAATTTTAAAGAATTGTGCACACTGCCCAGCATTAATCATAATGCTTTATACTGACATTTTCTCAAAGACAGCTACCTATCTGTCTTCCAATCTTACATGTCTGTAAGTGTTAAAAACACTTCATTAAATTTTAATTTTAATTAATTTAATGAATTTTTGAGGTAAATAGATGGTAATAATAATCTAGGCATTAAAGATTATACTCTTCCTTCAACTGTTTTTTTTTTCAACTAGTTATTAGCACATCTTTAAGGGACCGTTCACTTATTTGGGTAATTTCATGATAAACTAATTAGCCTCTAACCTATTCATTGGTATTATTCTTACGTTTCAAAGATATCTATGACCGGAAATGTATCACTTAGAATGCCAGCGTAAAGGTATGATACCTTTGCTTAGACACTATTTAAACATTTTTTTCAGTAACAACAGCCCCGTAATACCTAAAATTACCATATTTTAATGAAATAATGTGTTAGCCATTATATAATAAAATATAAAAACTTTTGATTTTAGTATTAGCAAGAAATTAATGTTTTTTGTATTCAAACATATAAACACGCTTATACAAAGATGACTTTCTCTCTCAGAAAAAAAGGTTCCTAGAAGACGTTAAAACGTCTGAAACCATCAAATGTTTAAAATAATTTATATTTTGAAAAAAGACAGTTTTAAAATAATTTTGAAAAATTTAATGATATCTACAAATAATTATTAGATACTTCAATATAATTTTATATTTAAAAATTTCTTTAAATCCATCCCTATGACAAAAAGCATCAAATGATTTCTGTGCAAATGTACCATACCTTTGTGCTGGAATTCTGAATGATAAATCAGCTTTTTCTCAGGCCACAGTTGTGTTTAAAAAGTAAGACTACTAAATAATAATAATAATAATCAAATTCTCCCAAATAAGTGAACGTCCCTTTAAAACAATTAATGCTGAAACTTTTTCCAGATTTAAGGAAACAGCAAATAAGTAAATTCTTTAGGTTGTTGATATGTGGAAACATGAGTCCTATGATTCCAATATCATCACCAATGATGTCTCTCTACTCAGACTTGATGAACCATTGGAGTTTAATGATATCATCCAACCCCTGAGAATGGCTGAGAAAGGTTGGTTTAAAGGGACTGATAAGGTAAACTGAGAGGGGGTATAGGCTAACAAATAGTAATGTTCCTTCCCTCAATATTTCAGGGATTTTACTTAGCGGCCAAAAAACATCGTCAAAAGTAGATTGCAAATTTTTAAGGAAATCAACGTATGAAAATTTATAACATTCAAGTTGTTATAGGAGCATGCCTAAAACTTCTGGGCACCTGAGGGTTAGCTTAATTTTTAGATTCGTTCCATAGTAAAACTTGAACACAGTTTTATTAAAATTTCTTGGAACAGGGACCTGAAAGAGAACTATTATTGGTCGTGATCAACTCCTAAAATTTCTAGGCTTTATCCTCTACCCCCTTTCATTTCACCTTAACGGTCCCTTTAAGTTTAAAATAAAAAATTCTTTGGCTCAAAAGTCAGAAGTGGGAAAAAATCTAAGTTTTGAATATTTGTTAATTAGGAGTTGAACCAGAAGAAGGTGTAGTCTGTATTAACTCTGGATGGGGATCTATCTCTGACACCAGTATTGCCAACATGCCTAACAAACTACAGGTATAACCATACCATATTATATATCAAATCATTTAGTTTTGTATCCCGTATTCCTTATGAAAAATGTGCAAAAAATGCAGATCAATGATTTCTTGATTATACTTTCTGCAACCCAGCTGACTATCATTCTATGTTTTAAACACCAATGTCTTTTTTGCCATTATATATTTTGTTGAAATACAACAACATTAGTTGGATAATTATTTGTAAATTGGAGAATGCATTCGAAATTGAAAATTGTGAATTTTATGTGTATTAAAAACAAAAAGATATAAAGCTGTACAAATATATGTTAAAACAATTAAAAGTCATGAATAAAGCATGCAGGCAGACATAGAATTTCAGAATTTAACAGAATATTTCAGAATTATTAATGGTGCCATATGGCTAAACCCCAGACCTCCGGACCGCCATGTCGTAAGCCACCGATCTATTAGATCCTATTAGACATCTTGAGCACATAAGGGTTAAAAGTTAGAGATGTTAGATCTTGAAATTTATTATTGAATGGCTATGAAAAACGCGCATTTTTGGTTACATTTTCTTAAAAATAAAGGCCGAGGTGAAGAAAAAATTGACTGCTTTATTGCCGTGTATTGTGTTTTGTAGTTAATCTTACTATTCTTGCGCATTAATTCTTCTTGTACTATAATTTGATATCTTTATATTGCATAGTTTGTTGACCTGCCTATTGTTGGACGTGAAACATGCCAGGATAACTATAATGGAATCAATGGCGTAGATGAAGGTAAACCAATAAATATATATGACAAGAAAGCTCTTACACAACTATTAAACTTTAGCCAAGGATGAGATTTTTTAGAGGGGTACTCAAGAATAATGAAAACAGCAATTAATATTCAATTTAGATCATTTTTTTCTTCTAGCTATTAATAGTTTAAACCAAGTCCTTTCTTTAAACCCACATGCATAGTATTTTCTTACGTTCATTAGCATCTGATCCATTCAGGGTTCACTCAGGAGCTTCCAAATATGGCACGATCTATATATCTATACCGTTTATTCACATCGTATAATCCAATTAAAGATTGATATGAAATTGAAATAATTTACTTTTATCGACACTAATGTGCACGAATACAATGACATAGGTATGGTCTGTGGTGGACAATCTGCAGGAGGAATATCCCCCTGCTCCGGAGACTCTGGTGGACCCCTTGCCTGCCCTGATCAGGATGGTTATTATCTTGCAGGTATTCTGAGCTAAGTTTAAAATGATTTCTAAAAAATTGCTCTACAATTTATACTGCACTTTCAGCTCAAATACCATGTCTAGCTAGACACTCCCTTTAAACCTTCATTTCATTAATATGTAAAGCATCCATGTTGGTGCAAGAATTGGAAAGTATTCCCTGATTTAAGGGGAATGTAAGCTTTATTTAGAGATGGTAATATCCAATTTACAACAATGCCCTTGAAACTTTAATCTGACGAAAAATGTGAATGATGCAGTCATTTTACTGATTTTAAAATGTTTTTTTTTTCTGTGAACTTACAAGTTACAAGCAAGAAATGTGCAGGTCACTTTTGCAGAGAACTCGCAAATGAAAATAATCAGTTTCAATAAACAAAAACAGATAATTCGTGATTCATCAGACAAAGCTTTCAAGAATATTGCTGTTAATATGATAGTGTCATTTTGTATGGAGGGTCACTTGAAATAAGGCTTATATTCCCTAATTTAAGGAGTTAATTATTTCCCAAATAAAAAATGAAAACAGTTGATAACAAGTTAAGCGGTTTTAAACAAAAGTTTCTTACTCTCTTTTTACTTTCTTATAACATTAGAGTACACGTATTGAAGTCTTTGAATAAATGCACAATTAAGTTATCTAGTTTATTTGTTGAACCATAACATTTGTTTTTTTTTTAATCTTGGGGTTGGAAGCTCTGGCAGCTGCGCCACTGTACATTTAATTAATAAGAAAATAGTGTTCACAAAAATGAAAGGTGCATATAGATCTAAAATTTAGGTATTGTATCCTGGGGTATGATCCCCTGCGGTCAACCTAACTACCCTGGAGTATTCACTAATGTTGGGTTCTACAGAGATTGGATAGATGAACATATGAGCATGTAGTTGATATTTAGTTTATAATTGAAACAAAATATTTAGTTCTATTAGTTTACTCTGTATGTTTTCACTCTACTATAAAAAAGAACTGCTTTTGAAGGAATCAGCACAAAGGAATTGAGTCTTTGCCACAAGAGCTAATTTTCTAATCCCTATATCTTTGCAACCTAATGTAGTACAGATTTGATATTTTAAACTTAGATTATTCAACATAACAGATTTCATATTTTGAAATTTCAAAGGGTTACAACATTGGGTTTCAAAGATATATGGTTTAGAAAATCAGAGTTTGTGACAAAAACTCAATTCCTTTGGGATAGTACAAACCTAAGACTTACAAACGTCGGACCAGTACAAACATTGAACCAGTGGAAATGTCGAACTCTCACAAAGTCTGAAGATACGAGTTCACTCTTTGCTCTGATTTTTTTTATTAAAAAAGGAGTGATTTTGGATCAAATGGTATAAAAAAGGAACTGAGTTCTTGCCAGAAACTCAAATGTTCTAATCCCTTATATGTTATAAACAAATTTGATACTTTCAAACTTAAACTGTTTGATCTCATAGACTTCATAGGTTAACATATTGAAGGTCTACAAAATTGGTTTGCAAAGAATTCGGGATTGCAACATCAAAGTTTAGGACAAGAATTCAACCCTTTTTCTTCTGTTATTTATACAATGCTACCTTTATTCAGTTATATTTGATTTTTAGCATAAAAAGTGGGTGTTTTTTTATTTGTTTGTACTGCTTCAATATTTGTCCCAGTCCAACGTTTGCACCAGTCCAAGGTTTGTATTGGCACCATTAAAACCAGAAAAATACAATTTAAAAAAATTTATTCTATAGAATGGTTCCAAAATACTTATACTTGACACAGAAAGTGTTAGGTTTTAAAAAGTAACTGCTAATTTTACAGTGATTTTCAGAAGTCAAATTTTGACAGACAACAGAATCGTTAAAATACATCTTTGAAATAATACATAAAAATCACAAAATTTAGAGGAGAAAACCCCTGCAAGAAAAGGAACTTATATATTGATCTATAGACCAGGAGGGTTTCCAGGTTTTCTTGTGTCAAGATACTTCTTGATCTCAGGAATATTCTGGATCTTGATAAAGTTGGCCTTTGCCAGTGGGTAGTTGTCCTGTAACAAGTTAAAATCTGACATATTCAAATACATGTCATGTCATATCTATAAATAAATTTAGCTTGTCTGTCTGTTTGTTTCTTTGTTTGAATCCAATAAACGTCGAAAAGGCTGATCCGATCGAACCCAAATTTTGTGTGGGAACTCACGTGACCCCAGGGAAGGTTTATGAATGATCAAAATTTAAAAAATTTTGTGTTTAAAAGTTTTTTATTTTTGTAAGATTTTGAAAATGCGCAAAAAAATATAATGGAATCCGCAAACTTTTTTGTTTTTGTTTTATAATGTACTAGCCTTAGAGGGCGCTTCGCGCCCATCTTCTAAATTAATTGTGAACATGTTCTCTTTGTGTACATCGTAAAACAAAACAAAAATAATTCGCGGATTTTCACAAAAAATCTCGTGGATTTTCAAAATTTTCAAAAATTTAATGAAGATCGAATTTTGATGGAGACAAATATTTAAAATTTCAATCATTCATAAACCTTTCCTGGGGTCCCTAGATGTCCCACAAAAAATTTGGGCCCGATCGGTTCAGCCGTTTTGACGTTTATTGGATACAAACAGACAAACAGACAGACACCCAGACAAACAGACAGACAAGCCAAATTTATATATAGATAAAGAGAAGATGCTCACAGATAAAGCCACAGTTAAAAGTTGAAATAGAAGATGGGCGCGAAGCGACCTAAAAGCCTAGAAAGAAGGGCGCAAAGCGCCTTAAATTTCTAGCATACATATACTTTGTTTGTCCGGGTGTCTGTTTGTGTCCAATAAATGTCAAAACGCCTGAACCGATTGGTTTTAAATGGCCGACTTTCAGAGCAACAGTAAAAAGCTAAAATTATTTACAGGTAGGGGGGAGCAAAGCCCAGTTTATTACAAATCAGTTTGTATAATCTATGTATACAGCGTGGTAAAACTTTATATTTCGTGGTAAATAGTTCCACACCTATACAAATGAAAGCGAATGATTGGGAATTTGAGGAAAACAATGTTGTATACTCATATAAACATATTTATATTAGATATAACAGATTCTTACCAGAAGCTTGAACCGACCATCACATCCTGTAACATCCTGGAACCCCTTCTCCTCAGGCCAGGAGATAAAGAAGAGCACCATGTACATAGCAAAGTCAGCAAATGTCAGCTAAACATAAATGGCTTAAAAGATATCAATCCAGTATAAAGTTTTGTTCCTGAAAGGGTCTGTAAGCGTAATTTTAAATGAACCTCTATGTAAAGATGGCAATGTCCGATTTTCAACAGTGCCCTTTAGAGCTTAGTTTTGTCAAGTATGAATTTGATAAAACATGAATGTGTTTATTTAAACTGTTTATTTTTCATTTACGGTTTCTTTATGAAAAAGACTTGCAAATTTCTTGTTTATAAGAAGCAATAGAGAAATTTACGGAAATAAACACTTTTTGAGTTAGAAGAACAAGATATTTTCCAGGTTTTTGTTCAAATAAAAGTTTCAAGGGTATTATACATTGCTATATTCAAGTGAAAAGACACATGAAATTAGACATTTAGTCCCTTTCAGTTTCTGAAAATTAATGTTCGTTCACCTGGTTTCCAGCATACCACTCTCCTCCTCTCATCTTTACCTGATTTCCAGCATTCCACTCTCCTCCTCTCATCTTTACCTGATTTCCAGCATACCACTCTCCTGCTCTCATCTTTACCTGATTTCCAGCATACCACTCTCCTCCTCTCATCTTTACCTGATTTCCAGCATACCACTCTCCTCCTCTCATCTTTAACATCTTCTCAGCTCCATCCAGAAATTTTGGAAAAGTAGTCTAAAAAAATAAAAGTTGAATTAAAATTAGGTTCCTGGTTAAAAGCATGATGATTTATTTAACGGTGAAAGATCGGAAACACCCTTTTGTCCAGTCTTACTTAAAATAATGACATTAAAATTGTAATTTTCAAAATTTGTAGAAAAAAGTGATTAACTTGAACAACTATTCCTCCCTCGCACATTCGTGCTCTCCTAGTTCTTACTTCTTACTTATATAAAACTCCTTGAGTGTACTTAACATGAAGAAGTGCCCAGCGTTTTAAAAATTCTCAAAAGAATTGAAAGTCATTGTTTACAGAATAGAGTTGTTGAGCAAAGAGCTGGACCTAAAATATTACCTTGAGGAACTCCTCTGCTTTAGCCTGCTTTACATCTGGTGCTGCAAACCTTAACCCTGGCATGTCTGAAGAACAATATATTCCAAAACAATTGTATAAATTGAATTCTTGCCACAAACTCTGATTTTCTGCAACATGTTGTAGATGTTTGATATTGCAAAATATGAATTCTGTTTGATAAATAATTTAAGTTTGACAATCAAAGGTTGACATCAGCAGGGTTCAAAATTTAGGAATTAAAAAAATTTGAGTTTGTGGCAACATTTCCAATGATATTATTGTCCTTTTTTTCTACTAATACTCTTAAAGCTATATATATGCTATGATTCAACTCAAATGATTCTTTTAACTATAATTTTGTCCTCGATATTTCAGAATTATGGCGTATGTTATTAATCCTTATTTATGTATATCTATCTATATATATGGCATTTTTATACTTATGACCATAATCTCTGATCAATGTTCATAAAGTAAATTCACCTTTCCAAATATCATTAGTATGTTCCAAGATCATGTCAGCTTGAAAAAAGTCTTCATCAGTTTTCCCAGCAAGTCCAACCTTCTTGGCAACATACCTGAACAGTTAACACTAAGTTGTTATAGTGTTTCACTAGGCCCAAACGTTAATAAAATTACATTAGAACTGCATGAACGCCAGTTTTAAATTTGAATCATCGGTTCAGATCCTCCTTAATCTTAAACTTTGAATCAGTGGTTCAAATTGAACCGACAGCGAGGTACCTCAAATTCATTAAATTCAGTCACAGAAATAATAGTTATATTTTTAAAAGGACTGTAAAAACAATGTCAATTTACCCTTTCTTTTTAAAAACACTGAGCAACCATTGGCTTAGGGCTGGGCACGTTCCGACTTTTTTGAAATCGTTCCGTTCCGTTCTAGAACGAGGGCCTTTGGCTAAATCGTTCCGTTCTCGTTCCTCTTTTTTTTATCGTTCCGTTCTCGTTCCGTTCCGTTCCATTCTGAGTAGAAGAACGGGCTTCCCGTTCCGTTCCGTTCTTGGCGTTCTTAGTTGAAGAACGGTTGCATCCCTCTTGTTCTGTTCTTAATTAAGAACGTTTCCATCCCCCGTTCCGTTCTTAGTAACGGACAATTACATCAAAGACAAAAGTTTTATAGAAAAGAGTTGGTTAAAAAGTAAAAAAATTACAATTTTTAAATAATAAGTTCCTCACGGCCGTAAATAATACTTTAAATTACATATTTTAAATGTAGGGTTAAAAGAATAAGCTTAGATAATTCTGAGCAATGTAAAATTTTGTGAGAGCGGAGCGGGAGTGCTAATATCCTTAATATGTATGTACGATACCTGCTGCTGTCTGAGTATTGTCAGTTTAGCAGAGACCGGGGAAGGGGGGGGTATGGGGGGTTTAAAGTGGGGGGAGGGGAGGGGGGTCGGGTGATTGAATAAAAAAATCTTTAACTATTTCTAGATGATTTAGAACACATTCCTGATTTAAAATGCGTCCCCAACTAAGAACGCGTTAACGATTTTAACAGTTCTTTTCAAGCAATTCCCGTTCCGTTCCGTTCCGTTCTTTTACTAATCGTTCCAATATTTTTAAGAACGCGTTCTAAGCGTTCGTTTTTTATTCGGAACGATGGGATCGTTCTTGATCGTTCCGTTCGTTCTCGGCAAAGAACGATCGTTCCACCGTTAACGCGCCCAGCCCTACATTGGCTACATATATTTATATACATTATTATATTTTATGTATATATATTGCTGGAAAAGTGTTGAATTCTGGACATTATGTTTGTGTTTCTGCTACAATAATCAGTTATTTCATTATAATGGAACCAAAATAAGATGGACTTTCTAATAAAAATATAATATGTACATTTTTATTCTTTGTTGCTCAGACGAAGGTTTAAATGGTACTGTTGTGAATCAGGCTAACTGGGCTTTAAAGGGTCCCGAAAATGAATATATTCAGTCTCTGAAATCAAATTCTTTGCACTATAATGGTCAGTTTTAGAGCACTTCATGTCCTCTTTAAAGCAAAATATCTGTAAAAGCTAAAAAAAATCTCAAGAAACCACAAAAATAAAATGGACCAATTTTAAAGATGAAATCAAATGTGTTAACGGTAGTAAACCTGACAATAGCATGAGACTGTGCCATTTCAAGACCATCCCAAGTCATCATAGGCAGCTGGCCGAAGGTTGTTGTTGGCTTCATATTCCCCCATTCAGCAAAAGATATTCGGTTGTCCTCAAAATCAACCTAAATATTTGTCTATGAATAGCTTTCTTACAAAAAGCACAAAATCTAACCAAGGTGAATGACAAGGGAATTTTACATGGCTTAACCCTAAACAGTTATAAATAAATAGCTATTTAAAGGATTTTTTGTTAAAAACATATTTTTTTAAATTTATAGGGTAGGGTACAGGGTGGGAAAATAGATCTAAAACTATAGTTTTGAAAAGCCCTTGAAAAATGCATGTTATAGAAACATGTGTCACCCTTTGATATTTGTTTTAAAAAAAATATTTAACTTTTTTCACCCTTTTTTAGGCATTTTTTTAACCCTCCCTATCACTCAAACTAATTAAGTTATCGGTCTAATTTTTTGGGGGGCTATGAACATGCATTTCAACCCTATAACTATACTCTAAGGTCTTTTTCTAGGGGGGGGGGCGCCAAACGACCCCCCAGCCTTTATAGGGTAAAGACTGAAATCTGGAAGTTACAAATAATTTGTCTGTACTCTGTAGTGCACCACTTTTTATTTATAAAAACTAAGTTATATAAAACAAATTTAACATACCCCTCCTTTAGTCAGCAGCAGACGAATCAACTCTCCTTTTCCCAGGAGATCGAAATAGGTGAATTTAACAGCAGGTCCCATTCTGATAGAATTCTAATCTAAACAAATAATGAATATATAAAAGTAAAACTTAAACATTACAAATTGTAATTGTAAGTTTAAAAAAAAGAATACACCAAATAAATAAATGATCCAAAAACGATCCAAAAACGATCTAAAAATGATCCAAAAATGATCCAAAAACGATACAAAATCGATCCAAAAACCATCCAAAAACCATCCAAAAACGATCCAAAAACCATCCAAAAACCATCCAAAGACGATCCAAAAACCATCCAAACACAATCCAAAAACCATCCAAAAACCATCCAAAGACGATCCATAAACCATCCAAAAACCATCCAAAAACCATCCAAAAACCATCCAAAGACGATCCAAAAACCATCCAAAAACCATCCATAAACCATCCAAAACCCATCCAAAAACCATCCAAAAACCATCCAAAAACCATATAAAGACGATCCAAAAACCATCCAAAAACCATCCAAAAACCATCCAAAAACGATCAAAAAACCATCCAAAAACCATCCAAAGACGATCCAAAAACCATCCAAAAACCATCCAAAGACGATCCAAAAACCATCCAAAAACCATCCAAAGACGATCCAAAAACCATCCAAAAACCATCCAAAAACGATGCAAAAACGAAAGAACAAAGGATTAGACTAAAAGACGACTTAAAAACAAGTTCTTTGAATGTTGTTTATAGAAGTTTCATCCTTTGTGGGTAACTCTGTATATAAAACTGTGCAATATGAAAACGACATTTCAGAGATACTATGAGAATTTATTGTTAACTTTTAAAGTTAAAGTACAGTTAGTATTATAGCTTTGAAAACAACATGTAAAGTGAACCCTATACTTAGCACAATTGATGTATTTCGTGTTATTTGGTGTACTTAAAATCATAATTTGAGACTATGTCAATTCAATCTATTCCACATGTTTACGAGTCTGACTGTTTACATTAATAAATAATAATGCCACTATTATTCTTGATGGCCAATTTCTTAGACGTTCTACCATAGTCACACTATGTTACGTTTTACCCGGGTAGTATAGATAGATAAATACGACCTTTAGTTGGAAATATGAACAAGAAATTGGGCCATGACTATACTGATAAGAAGAAACTGAGAAACTAAACTAAAGAGGGAGGGAGGATCTATTGAAGCCTGAAAGTAAAGTAAGCGACTGTAGAGAACAAATGAACACTCCCGCATTTTCTATTTCATGCTTAGAATTCTGGTGTACGTACTCTCTTACCCCGACGGATGCGAGTCACTGTGTACGGACTCTAGTAAGGACACAATTTAAGCTTCACGCACCACAAACCATTTAGCTAGAACATACCCGATTAACCGCAATTGATGAAACTTCAGATGTATACTCCCTATTTCCTTACATTCATATTTTTCCTAAACTATAAACTGGTTCCTTTCTTTACCAAATCATTAATTAAGTCGTTTAAAGATAATATTCAGAACATGCAAAGCAAGGACCCGTAACCAGGGGTGGTGCAAAGGGATAGGATACAACCCCTTTTATCCTAAAGGGGGTGCAATGATGAATTCGCACTCCCCCTTTCTTAGATAAGTTGTTTGGTATAATCTTCTCTTGAAAAATTGAGATGTTGACATTCAAAGTTGTTATCATCCTTTATACTGTATTGTGAGGGAGGGAAGGCACAATTCGTTCGACTACAAATTACACCACAACTCATAATTATTTCTTCCGATCACACCTTTTTTTCGGCATTGTTTACAATCTTTTTGTAAAGTACTTTAAATTATTTTATTTGTATTTTGAGCCATGTCATGTTGTTCATGATGATTTAAACTATTTTATCATGTTTTTTTGTTGTTTAATGAAGAGCATCTTTTGAAGGCACAGTAGGCATAAAACAAGTCATGCAAATCTTTGTTTCACAAACCCTCAAGAAAATTAAAACTAATTGTTATGTTGTTTATGCACTAACAAAATGTCTATTTTTAGTTGTAGATCCTAAAGGTCCCAGCGCACTATCACCTAAAAGTTTCAGTTCAGAAGTAAAATAAGAAAACATCATTTCCAGACGAAATATAGTTGTGGTCCAGACGAAATATAGGTGTGGTCCGGACGAAATATAGTTGTGGTCCAGACAAAATATAGTTGTGGTTCAGACAAAATATGGTTGTGGTCCGGATGAAATATAGTTGTGGTCCAGACAAAATATGGTTGTGGTCCGGACGAAATATAGTTGTGGTCCAGACAAAATATGGTTGTGGTCCGGACGAAATATTTGTGGTCCAGACGAAATATGGTTGTGGTCCAGACAAAATATATGTGTGGTCCAGACAAAATATGGTTGTGGTCCGGACGAAATATAGTTGTGGTCCAGACAAAATATGGTTGTGGTCCGGACGAAATATAGTTGTGGTCCAGACGAAATATGGTTGTGGTCCAGACAAAATATATGTGTGGTCCAGACGAAATATAGTTGTGGTCCTGACAAAATATAGTTGTGTTCCGGACGAAATATAGGTGTGGTCCGGATGAAATATAGGTGTGGTCCAGACAAAATATGGTTGTGGTCCGGACAAAAAATGGGTGTGGCGCACACATGTTCCTTTCGTTACTAAATTGGGCTCAAATATCTTTTCTTTTTTGAAACAAATGAATGTAAGATACAATTAAGCTATATTGAATAACATGACATTGCCTAAATTTGATAAAAGAAAGAGTTAAAAGGCATAAAATAATACATTTGAAAACGTTATAGAAGCATCATCCAGTCAAAAAAGGTTTGGTCGGAAGAAATAATATTGTACAGTTGTGACATCCTTTGTGGTGTGGACGAAAAAATGGTGTGGTGTGCCAATTGCCCCACTCGTATTGTGTTATAGTTGTTCCCTCGGACCAACCAAATTAATCCTTTTATAATAAGGTAAGATTTTCTTTCGCATATAAAGATATACATATATTCATAAAATGTAGTAAATAAGTTACCCTCTGACTGATAAAATTCAATCATTTTAGTTTTGCAGAAACTTATTCCCTCAGTTTCAATATTTTGTCCAGACAGTTCAAAATCACATGAGTGCTAATATCATTATTTTAAACATTTTCTGTTCTTCAATATTGCAAAATTTAACTTAAAACAAAAAAACTAGTGATCTGTTATTGTTGACAAATTAGAAAATTTCCTATACAACATAAAATTCAACCTAAATTTACCGCTATTATGCCAAAACTCTGAAAATTTTCTATGGCTACAACACTACATACTTCAACACCCTTCTTTGCACCTCGATTTGGAAAATACTGGTCACGGGCCTGATGCAAAGAATAATGGAACTGTAATGGAAAAATAAAAGGAAGTAAAGGCTGAAACCTAAGAACTTCAGGAGTTGATCGACACCTTAAAGAGTTCTATTTGATGTTCCTGTTTTGAGACACTGATGTAAAACTGTGTCAAAGTTATACCAAAATGTTTAAATATAAGATTAGGTATAATAATCTAAGTTTAAACAGATCATGTGACAATGATACTGCACTGTCATTGGTGGGAGTTCTAGTCATGTGATACGGACGTATTTATTATATTATCAATTTTATCTATTAAAATGTAAAATTCAAATAAGAAAAGGAGAAAAACTGAGTTTTCTGGCTCCTCTGGGATATCTTCGTTTTCAGATTTATTACACATTTATTGAATACTAGCTGAAGTGCCCGGCGTTGCCCGTGGGAAAAAAATAGAAAACAAATTCTAAAAAAAAGATTCGAAAATTGAAAAAAAAAAATTGAAAAAAATATCGATTTTTTAGCCTATAACACCCCTCCCCCCTCGTAATTAATATTTAGGAGGCTGCGCGCAGCGCTCTGTCCTCTTGTAGTAGTTAGGGCATTCCTATTGTTTTGCACATCTACAGCCATAGGTTTTCCCTTTGTAGGATTCTTAAATGGAATGACCCCATATGTTTTAATTTGAAATCTGGGACAGTACTAAACTGGCGTATTAAAAGAAAAACAAATTGGCGGATTTCAAAATTTTTTTCCGGAATCATTAAAATTCAATCCTTTGCAATGAAACTTTACATAAAATCTGTTTATAGAAAATGTAATTATAGAAAGTGTAACTTTATAGCAAATGTAACCTTATAGGTAATATAATGATAGCAAGTTTAATTATAAAAAGAGTAATTATAGGAAGTGTAATTATAGGAAGTGTAATTATAGAAAGAGTAATTATAGGAAGTGTAATTATAGGAAGTTAAATTATAGAAAGTGTTATTATAGGAAGTGTAATTATAGGAAGTGAAATTATAGAAAGTGTAATTATAGGAAGTGTAATTATAGGAAGTGTAATTATAGAAAGTGTAATTATAGGCAGTGTAACTATATGAAATAGAAAGTGTAATTATAGGCAGTGTAACTATATGAAATGTAACTGAGCCCTTATTGTTTTTAAAATTCGACCCCCCCCCCCATTTCCCCCTACACTACCCGAGTATTGTATAGAATGAAGTTAAGCGTATCCAGGCAAACTGCAAGTGTGCAATGTGCATGCTTCCAGGCAACAGGGGCGTACAAGGGGGAGGGGACCGGGGTGCACGGACCCCCTTTATGCGTGCCCGCCTGAGGGGGGGGGGACGCATGGAGGGGCTCATTTAATTTTACATCTGCTTTCGTTTCCCTTCCCAGTCAATCTACATTCTATACATTGCATTGCAATGCACTCACCCAAACTAAAAGATTAAGAAAAGAAATTAAATATATTCTGATTCACAACAATACCCTTCAAAGCGTTGTCCTATCAAGTATTCCATTAAATATCCACGTTTTCCATTTTTAAAAAAAGGGTTATTTTTAATTGTGGTTTCTCTACAAAAGTGAATCATTCATTTCTTGCTTCAGAAACGAGAAATGAAGGTTTCAATTATGTACATCTGAAATGCCAGTCTATAAATGGAGGGTCACTTGAAATTAGGCATGTATTCCATTTAAGTATAACTACTTTACAAAATAGAAAATACTTAAGGATCTCACTTTTGCCCTTAACCAAAAAAAATTCTTTAAAAAGGCTTAGTTAAAGTAAAACTAAAAGTAAAAAATTATTTATTTTATGAAATATAATAGAAATCTTAAATAATTAACATTTTTCTTGCCCCCCTAAAAATGTTAAGGGGGGGGGGGTAAATGTTTTACCTCTTGCCCCCCCCCTAACTAAATGTCTAGTTGCGCGCCTGTTACCAGGCAGAACAGAGTTTTAAGTACACCTCCCCCATGACCCCCTAAATGTAGAATTTCATTCTAAAATTTTATAAAATGCGTTTATTGCGTATCCAGGCCAAATACCTGTGTGCCTACCAGGCAGCACCAGGCTCTAGTGCGCACGCGCACAACCAATATTACAACCTATACATCTGCAGCTAAATCCAAGGTTTAGATAAAACATTCACGCGGTAAATCCTGGTTCCGTCTCCTTTCAACTTATTAAATGCATGCAAGTTCAATTTTTGACCGCTAGATGTAGTTTTATTTCTTTCTAAATATGTTCTTATATACTGCAACAAACAACATAAAAGAATCATAAAAGAAATGAAGAAAAAATAGAAAAAATACAAACTAGATCAGCTTCGAAAGAAAATGAATAGGAAAAACAAGCCATATTTGCAGAATATTTAGACGATGATGAACTAGAAGAACAATATAAAACTGTTCATTTCAGAATATTTATTAGATGATGAAATTGTCGAACAATTTAAATTTGTTCCTTTCTTTATGATATATGTGTATATACATATAATTATATATATATATATATATATATATATGTTGAAGCATAAAGTAATGCTTCATATATATGGAAGCATAAAGTAATGCTTCGCATGGATAGGTTTATTTTAACGAATATGAATATTTATTCAGTATAATTTATTCGGAGTTCATTGGATGGTTTGGATGAGGAGTGAGGAATCGATTCTTTGAGGTCCCCGTGTGAACTGCTTAAGCTTGAATTTTCCTTTTTCTGTTCAAGGTATAACTCATCCAAGCTTGAGTTTCTTCTGAGCCAAGGTTTCCATGAAAATACATAAAGGAATTGAGTCATTGTCACAAACTCTGATTTTCTAATACCTATATCTTTGCAATCCAATTTCGTAGACGTTAGATATTTCAAATTCAAACTATGAA